TTTAATTGAGCGTTATGTATATCTTGACGTTCCTTTAAATAAAGTCGACATGGATTTTGATTACAATAACAGTGAAGTGTGCACGATTCACATTTGAAAAATTTGATGGTACAAGTTTTTGATATAATACGAGAATACTTATATCGATACGTATCAACGTTATTTGGAAAACATAAAATCAGAAGTGACCCTCATAATTTTCATACGAAGTAATATATATTCGTAAAAGAAAAGAAGCTCTCTATGGAATTTGAACGACAAGTGGAAGTTAATGCTTTTACATTCTTCCTATGCAATAAATGATATTTCAATGACAAATGAAAATGATTTTAAATATCAACCCTATCGAAATTTTAATTCATGAATTTTAGTGAGAAAAAAGGATCTTATACACAGAAAAATAATCAACAGAATATGATAATTTCATTGTTGGTTTAAATGTTTGCAATGCAGTAAGGTTATTGATCAAATTTGAAATAAATTTCATAAAATTGCATTTTCTGAAAATCAATCTGATTTATTGAGGACATTTTGTTTCCGTGTTGATAGTCAGCAGCAAAAATAAAAGATTCTCAGAAAACGTTTTCATCTGTAGAATTTTGTGAAGCTTGTTGCGCTGATCATTTTATTAAGAAAAATACTTACCTATACTCAATAAGTCATGTTGTTAAAGTCGTCATAGTCGAGGACGTTAACTACCTCTTAGTAATAGTCAGTAACGACAGAAGTTTTTGAGTACTTTAATTCTAACACTATGACTTCTTGAATAAATTTGAATATTTTTTTAAATCGACATCATCAGCACAATGAACTTCAGAAAAATCTACAGATAAAAGTTTGTCGTTGATAGTATGCAAAATGAAAAAATATATAAGCTAACTCAACAATTTTACTATTTTCTACTGATGGACTAAAACAAAGAATTTTGAAAAATAAATCAAGTTAGAATTTTGAATATCATATATTATCCAATACAAAATGAAAAGGATAATCTATAGAACTCTAATATGCTTTAACTTCATGTTTTTTTCAAAAGATAAAATGAATATTGAAATAAATAATTAGAGAACTATGTTTATTTGGTTTTAATAGCTTTCAATAAGTTTAGCAACTGATCAGATATCGATTTGTACATGAAAGACAACGATTACCATACATAAATTAATTAGTAAAATAAATAGAGTTCATGATTTTCTGTTACTAGTATATTGCTTTGCTCTGTTTTATTCTGAGAAATACTTTCTCGATAGTTTGATAGGAACTGCATCCATCAGATGCCAAAAATTAGCACTTCAACTATTCTTTTGCCTGTATTACAATGATTTAGTCATAATACAACAGATAGTAATTAATGTCATATCACCTTGAAAGTGTCAAAATCAATGTCTCTTTAAATACTTTCGTCTGTTGATAGAGTAACATTTGTTAAATGTTAAGTATTTTTTTTTATCATGATTATGATGAGACAATAACCTTTTGTCTGCCATTAATTCATAGTTTATCTTTAAACAGGAAAACAAAAAAAACCGCCTACATGTCAAAACCAATCAAAGTTAACAACAGTAGTAATGTTTATTGCTAGTGTGTCAGATGTGAACATATTTGCACATCAAAATGGTGATTTTACTCCCAGTTCTTCATTCTTCTTTTTTATATATAAAAAACAATCAATGTAGACATCAGTTGCCACCCACCGAGGATCTACTAAAACAACAATTTTTCCTATATTCTTAATATCTAAGTGGCATAGCTACAGCTGATCAAAAGTTATCAAACTTTTGAATTTTATACGATATACTTTATTAAACAAATTCTATATTATCAAGAAGATAGAATTATGATTATAACTCATTTTATGGACTCATTTTGTTTGTCAACATGCATCAAAAGATTTTCATTTCTTCGACAAGTTTTATTGTAGACAACGGGCTATATTCTGTTCTAGATGAGGTATGTTGATATCTCGAAAACAGTAAAGAAATGTCAAAATAGATGCATGAATATGAAACTATTCCATTGGCGCATAAGTTCTGAGAGTTTGGATCAGTAGAATAATATCGCCAATATAAAACTACATTTTAAGGAAAGTAATTATATCTTCTGATAGCGCTCGGAATTCTCTATCACCCTGTGTATTTAAGTCTTGACTTGAACTTATTTGCTGAAAAATATTTTGAATACAATGAAGACACCTTCACCCTCATTGACAATGTTCGAAATATTTCTCAGCAAATAAGTTCAAGTCAAGAACTGAATACACACGGCGATAGAGAATTTCAAGAGCTCTCAGAATATATAATTACTTTTCTAAAAAACGGATTACTATATAGATAAAAATTTTTAAAACACATGAGAAAAGAAGAAAAAATGAAGTTTGTGGGAATCTGAGGGCGAGAGTGTCATCACTGTACTCAAACTATTTTCAGCAAATAAATGGAAGTCAAGACTTAAATATACAGGGTGATAGAGTATTCCGAGCGCTATCAGAATATATAATTACTTTCCTTAAAATAAAGTTTTATATTGGCGATATTATTCTACTGATCCAAACTCTCAGAACTTATGCGCCAATGGAATAGCTTCTGAGCTTGTTTGCAAGTTTTCAATTACTGTCATTTTTCTTGTTGATTACAAAACATGAAATTTTCATTAATTATAATTAATTGATTTAACTTTGATCGCTAACATATGCTCCGAATTTTTTCTTTTTTCCATGCGCTACTTCGCCCACTTATATGCATATTTATTATTCAACACAAAGTCGACATTTGATGAATTAACAAAAAACGATCACTAATAACAAATGATGCATAAATTTTTTTCAGGGGATAATCAATTTTTCTAAGGAATGATACAAATTTTTCAAGACTACTATGATGTTTGTCTGTATTTTCAATTTTTATCAAATTGTAACTAATCACTAGTCGTTGTTTTTGTTAATATTAAACGGCATCTTTTCTATTTTCTTTAAATTCTTGTTCTGAATTACGAAAGATTGACACAAATCGATAAATAGTTTGATGAACTATAATTTGTTGACCCATGAGTTCTGGCAAGTTGATTTGATCATACTTGATTTATTCAATTTTTTGTTTGTGTCTTTTTTTCAGCAGTATACTGTTCTAATTGATTATAATTTTTGCTCAAAGCTATCATTAAATCATTGCTCAAGTTCCTTAGTATAATCGTCAATCCCTGATTTAATATTACGTGTGTCAGATTAGTCATTAATAAAACTAAGTTAATTACTTCAAGAGTTAAACTGAAAATTGCATGAGTTTCAACTGTCGTTGAAGTAATACTAAAGTACATACTGCTTATGACAACGGCATAATACAATTGATATCCGCTAACCATTGGCAACAAAACGTCTTTCAGATACGCTATTAAAATATAATATTTTGGTCCTTGAAAAAGCAATGGCGAGAACAAAAGCTATATATTCGTTGAGTAAGTAAGTGAAAATTAATGGTTTATTATCTTGTAAAATTTGATGAATGATGTTGAAATAAAGTAGAAGTTCTCACAATATTTTTTTCTTAGGTTTCTAAGCAAGATTAGTGATTGTAGCGAAATTGGATCTAACGGCAAATATCTCTGTGAAACAGTCGCACATTAAAAAGATGCTATGAACGTATACCAAGAACTTCATATTTTCATCTCAATTAATTTGTCAGTTAAAACTCTGTAACAAATATTTGGAAAAACTTCATATATTAATTATTTTTAAGTTCAACCTTCATTCAATGGATTTCATGCAGTCATTCTTTGAATAAATGTATTATTCTCATTGTAATCATCAATAATTTACCATATAATTCCTTTCATATTGATCAAGATTGTTTAATAAAATGTTTATCGAAATATTTTCATATCTAATTCTTATATTGTAATGTAAAAGTCAAAGAGTCTTTGATAACAATAAGAAATATACCTATGAAGATAGATTTTTTTGCAAGTATCTCTCTTTCGACAACCGCTCTAAGATATATTGTGTAAATTCTAATATGAACAGTATGAGTTATGTAGCATTCTTATTCTAAACATTTCGTTTTTACTTCAGGTTAATAGGTATAGATTCAACAGGAGTACCAATATGCCTCTTTTCTCTCTTAATAATCCCGATCGTGTCAATACAACTATTTTCTTCACATGTCAACATGTATAATATTTACTTTCAAGCAATCAAACTATATTTAACTTTAATTAGATAATATCAAGCATCGCGAATATTCTAGTCGTTTTCTTTTGTCTCTTCTATTCATTTCCAAAGAACGATAAATATAATTTTGCAATAATAAAACTGTCTTGAAGTAAATAAAAAAGAAAGAAAACATTTTCATCATCAACATTAATCTAGAATGTTTCTTCCCTTTTTCTTTTTTTTTTTGTGTTTCATTGCTACTACTCTATACAAATATAAGTAAGGGTTATAGGGCAATGAAGTGCACTCAGTCGTTAATCATTTTTTTCAATATTCTAGTATCAATTTTAATAATTATAATATAGTTTTTAAATGAAGTTTTCTTCTTAATCGGAACAAAACTTTTTAATCAAATTTAAAAAGATTTTCAATAAAAAAATTAAAGTGTCTCTTTATTTAAATTAACTTTAACTTGTCGTCGAGCGCTCTCTATTTCAATTGTCATGTCCTTTAATTATTGGATATACTCAAGTATTTATTAAAATGTCGCTACTTTCTTTAGTAAGAGCTCTATAGTATTTAGCGCTGTTCTGATGACATATTGTGCTAATAGTATTTATGCCACGATAGAAGGAGTTCAATTAATGTCAGTTAACTCATCATCATTAATAAACAGACGGCAGTATAGAGGAAAGAACGGAAAAAAAAGCAAGATGGGAGGACAAAATTTCGTGTGTGGGTGGTGTTGTACTTTTGTTTTTTGTCGATTGTTTTCATTTATCCTTAATTCTTCTAGATGATATAATCAACTAATACAACAATAAAAAAAAACATAAAACATTACTAATTAGTTGTCATGTCTGACGAAACGAATACAGTAACTTCTAATGAAGATATCGGAAGCAGAAAGTCCAAAGTAGGAAATATTCATTGTTTTTCTTTTTTTTTTTAATTTTATTAAATATAACAAAATAAAATCTTTAATTAGGATCAAAAGTCATCAAAAGAAGTTTGTGAAGAATTCGGAATTGAATATATACCAATGAAATATACCGATAATGATTTTGTTAATCTATCAACTTTTAAATTATTTTCACAAAATATACGTCCAACTATTAATTCACGTTATCCAAAATTAGCAACACAAAAAATAATGACACTTATGGCTGCTTATTGGCGTGAATTTCTTGAAATAAAAAATTCTCAAAATTCTTCAAATAATACATTAACTGAAACAAATAATGATCAAGAAGGAAATGATCGTATGGATCTTGAGGAACCACGTTCTATTGCAACATCAACACCACCACCACCACCACTAGGTCGTTCTCGTCGACGTCGTGCAATTGTACAAGATGATATTGATCCTGATGATATAAATGATCAACAAGATGATGATGATAATAATTCTGTAGCAACAAATTCATCATCACGTAAAATTACAAATACAAATAAAAAAATTCCATCGTTAAAAATAAAATTACAAAAAGATCAAGCAGCTGCTTTAGTAGCTAAAGAACAAATGAATTCATCATTAGGTAATGATGATGAAGAAATAAAACCATCAAAAAAATCAAATCGACAACGTAAACGTAAACGACGTGATGATGAAGATCCATCGAATGAATCAGATGCTGAATTTGAAGCTATGCTTGTACAAAGTGAAATGAATGAAGAAGAAGAACAACCGAAAAAAAAACGTGTTAAAAAACCACCAAAACCTCCTAAACGTATAGCAAGATTAAATAATCGTCGACAACAACAAGCAGCAGCTGAAGATTTAATAAATATTCCACTGGAACAAGCTGGTTATGAAACTGATCATCAAGATTATTGTGAAGTATGTCAACAAGGTGGAGAAATTATTCTTTGTGATACATGTCCAAAAGCTTATCATCTTGTTTGTCTTGATCCTGAACTTGAACAAGCACCTGAAGGTGATTGGTCATGTCCAGAATGTACAAAAAATGGTATTACTATTCGTACGAGACAAGCTGCTGCTGCAGCAGCTGCTCGACAAGCCAAAGAAGAAGAAGATAATCATATGGAATATTGTCGAGTTTGCCGTGATGGAGGCGAATTATTATGTTGTGATCGATGTCCATCTTCATATCATATGCATTGTTTAATTCCACCAATGACAGTTATTCCAGAAGATGATTGGTTTTGCCCACGATGTACTGTAAGTATCAGCGTCGTCTTTTCTTTGTTTTCGATTGGACAAAAACAAATCATATCAATTTTATTTTTCGTTTCTTTTTTTTGTAAAGATTGAACCACCACCATATGCTGTTAAGAAAATTCTAACATGGCGTTGGGTTGTTCATCCAGATTTACATTCAACAGTAACAAGTGATACAACAACATCAGAAGTAACAAAGACTGATGAAAATGGTGAATCAGCAACAACAATAACAACAATTATTGAACAACGTACTATAACAACAACAACTGCTGATGATGCTGTACCACCAGCTGAAGGTGCTGGTACTGGTGCTGATATTAAACAACGTCTTATTCCAATACTAGATCCAAATTTACCACCAGGTATTACACGTGGTCCCTTTAAAACACGAGAATTATTTGTTAAATATGATGGTTTATCATATTGGGCATGTGAATGGTTACCAGAATTACAAGTTGAAGTTCATCAATCATCATTATGGCGTTGTTATATTAAAAAAATCGGTGATGCTAAACAACCACAACCAACAATTGATATTGAAGGTGAAGAAGATGATGAAGTATCACGACGTTATTATAATCCAAAATTAGAACATCGATATTATAGACATGGTGTTAGACCAGAATGGCTTTGTGTACATCGAATATTAAATCATCGAAAAGAAAAAGGTGGACAAATGTATTATTTAGTTAAATGGAGAGAATTAGGTTATGAACAAGCAACATGGGAAATTGAAAAAGATGGAATGTATACAGATTTAATTGAAAATTGGCAACAACATATTGATAATTATTGGAAGTTAAGGTAAGAAAAAAGAACAATAGCAACATAATATATATTTTCATCTTAAAATTAATATTTAAAAAAATAATTCGTTGATTTTTTTTTGAGAAATGGAGCTGATGCTGAAGAGAAAAAAAAGAAAAAATCTGTTTCATTGAAAGTTACACGTCGTTCAAATCGTGAACTTGAAGAAAGTCGTTCAGTAGATGCAAATGGTGATTCAGGTGATGAAAGTGAACGTTCAGGAAAATATCCACCACCACGTAAACGTTATGAAAAACAGCCAGATTTTATTGATGTAACAGGTGGTACACTTCACCAATATCAATTAGAAGGTTTAAATTGGTTACGTTATTCATTTTCACAAAATACTGATGTTATTCTTGCTGATGAAATGGGTCTTGGAAAAACAATTCAAACAATTGTCTTTTTACAAGCTTTATTAAAAGAAGGTCTTTCACGTGGACCGTTTCTTATTAGTGCACCATTAGCTACAATTATTAACTGGGAAAGAGAATTTGAATTTTGGGCACCGGAAATGTATGTTGTTACTTATACAGGAGATAAAGAAGCAAGATCAGTTATTCGTAAACATGAATTTTCATTTGAAGGTAAGATAATTTATGTTCTTATTATTGTTATTCGACTATTAGACAAACGAGATATTCAGATGATAACAGGCATGAGAATTGTGTGATTACTATTATTTTTCAAGCATTTTATTAGTGTTCCTTATAGTTATCAAAATGATGTTGTCAATAGAAGTGCAGAGTTCGGTTTTGTCCGAGGATTTGTTTTAATAGAAACACCACCTTGCAAATTAAAAATTGAATTAAAACTCACATCTCTCAAAAATCGATCTGAGACCAGGTATATTGAAATCGCATGAAATTTCTAGCTCTGTATTATAATGTTTTCGCGAAATATTCAACAAACAAGAATCAAAAATAACTTATTTGGCAATTCACAATTCTCTGTAGGTCTTCATTTTATGTACGTCATTTGTTTTTGTTTGCTTGAAGGAGCATCTCAGAATGCCTAGCATGGCATCATCCTTCTTTTAAACTCTTACTTTTTTAAGAGGAGAAAAGTTCAGTGTTTCAAAAAGAGACGTTCTAATTATTATAATACTCTTTTCGTAATTGGAAAAAAGGACGCTATCATGTACCGTGCCTTGACATACACTTTCAAACAAAAAAGCCATTGATTACAATGAAGCTTCTTCGAGAATTCTGAAATGCATGATCAAAAAAAATATAAACAACAAAAAAGCGAAAAAGGTTTTTCGCTTTATTTGAAAAAAACATAATTTTCAAGCAGAAAATGATAGAAATTTTTGGAAAATAACAAAGTATCAAAATAAAAAATCGTGCTATTTATGAAAGAGTAGATCTGAAGCTATTTTTCGATGCATTCATCTCAATTTGCATGCAGAATGAAAAACTAGATAAAACTTTTACGAATACATACGGATATATAATAGCTTTATCAAAAACACTTATATTCTTTTGCTAACCATAATCATCTTATTATCTATTGCTGTGATATATTCTTCGGAGAAAATTAATTGTAAAACATTAAGAATGATATATCATATAGGTTTTCTCGATCGAAGGAGCAGTTTAAAGTTCTGTTTATCTCTATGTTGTATCAATCACTGATTAGAAAACCTTATGTGATGTATAGTTTATATTCGTTTTGATTTTACTCATGTATTTTGAGTTTGAGTCTGTATTCTTTAGAGAAATCTGTTAATAATATTATATATATATACACATATATCAATTTTAGATGATGCTATCCGTGCTGGCCCACGTGCAAGTCGTGTTCGTAGTGGTGTTAAAGTTAAATTTCATGCATTATTAACTTCATATGAATTGGTTAGTGTCGATTCGGCAACCCTTTCTTCAGTTGATTGGGCTGTTTTAGTTATTGATGAAGCACATCGTTTAAAAAATAATCAATCACGATTTTTTCGAACATTATTTGAATTCAATATTGGTTATAAAGTTCTCCTTACTGGTAAGAAGAAATGAATATTTTCATTCTTTGTCCATTTCATTTCTATAGTATTGTGACTTATTGGTTTTTCTTCTTTCTTCAGGTACACCATTACAAAATAATCTTGAAGAACTTTATCATTTATTAAATTTCTTAAAACCAGATAAATTTAGTGATATGGATGGTTTTCTTAAAGAATTTAGTGATTTAGCTAAAGATGAACAAGTTGCTAAATTACATGATATATTAGGTTCACATATGTTACGTCGTTTGAAAGCTGATGTTTTAAAAAATATGCCGTCAAAATCTGAATTTATTGTTCGAGTTGAATTAAGTCCCATACAAAAAAAATATTATCGTGCCATATTGACAAAAAATTTTGATGCTTTAAATGTTAAAGGTGGTGGTGGGCAAGTATCATTATTAAATATAGTTATGGAATTAAAAAAATGTTCAAATCATCCATATTTATTACCAGCTGGACATTATGAAGCACCACGTACAGCTAATTTAGCATATGAAGGTTCAGCATTAACAAAAGCAAGTGGAAAATTAGATTTGTTAGCTAAAATGTTAAGGAAATTAAAAGAACAAGGACATCGTGTCTTAATTTTTTCACAAATGACAAGAATGTTAGATATACTTGAAGATTTTCTTGAATATTTGGGTTATAAATATGAACGTATGGATGGAAAAACAGGTGGTGCTGAAAGACAAGATGCTATTGATCGTTTTAATGCACCTGGTGCTGAACAGTTTTGTTTTTTACTTTCAACACGTTCGGGTGGTCTTGGAATTAATCTAGCTACAGCTGATACTGTTATTATTTATGATAGTGATTGGAATCCACATAATGATATTCAAGTAAGAAAAGCAAAAAAAAAACAAATAGACGAAGAAGAAAAAAAAAATTTTATTTTATTCCTAATCGGGCTCGATAATAATTTTATAGTAATAATTCTTGTCGAGTTGTTTCATTTATACATTAGGAAAAAGAAATATTCAAAAGAACGTTTAAAAACCCTTGCGAGTTCCAATTACATGGCTCGCTTTGGCCAATCAACGTTTACAATTTTATTTTTAGTATACATATGCAAATTTTTAGCTAAACTTTTGTCACGTGTTTATTCGTTCTAGAAAATAATCTGAACTCACTAACTATAAAAAAAAAGTCTGTAGCTGTTTTCATATTGATCTAGGGATGTATTATGTTCTTAGAACATGCTGTCAAATTATGTTCTATCCGAAACTTTAGTCGAATTTCATGAAATATAAAACCAAGGTTTTGGAATTAATAAAAAAAGTCGCATATTTTAGTTTTCCTGGGCCAATCCTAACTGAGTTTGAGATATGTATGTTTCACATTAGACAAAACCTAAGAATAACTTCAAAAAGAAAGTTCTAACTGATTACAACCGTTTTGAGGAATGGTCACGAGTCCCATAATTCCCAATAGTGGGCATATGTTTTTGTAAGGAGCGATCAACTTATTCCTTGAATTTCTAATCGATATTTAGAATATTTTCAGTATTGAGAATTACGATATTTCTAACAATTCTTCATGCCATTTGTGATCAGTTTTGAACACTCTTTTCGAATCTATTCTTAGATTTTGTCTAAGACAACCCACAAATCTCAAAATCAGTTGAAATTAGTCGACAGCAAAATGCTGAAACATGAATTTTTGACTAATGCCGAGATCTTTGTTGAGTTGTGCACAAATTTTGACTACAGTTTCAAATCATTGTTAAACCTTATATCACAAGCACATTAATTCTCGTTCATTGAAACATTTGAAAAGACTTTATCTAAAGAAAATACAATATCTGTTGTTTTATTTTTTATTGTAGGCTCTTTCACGTGCTCATCGTATTGGTCAACAAAATAAAGTAATGATATATCGTTTTGTTACTCGTGATTCTGTTGAAGAACGTATAACACAAGTTGCCAAGAAAAAAATGATGTTAACACATTTAGTCGTTCGACCGGGTGTTGGTCGTGGTACTAATATGAGTAAAAAAGAATTAGATGATATATTACGTTTTGGTACAGAAGATTTATTTAAAGATGATGATGAAGTTGTAGGTAATGGTGAAGGTGGTGAAGGTAGTGGTTCAAAAATTCATTATGATGATCAAGCTATTGACAAATTACTTGATCGTTCACAAGAAGGCATACAAGAAAAAGAAGATGGTCTTAATGAATATTTATCAAGTTTTAAAGTCGCATCATATGCAACACGTGAAACAATCGATGATGAAGATGAAGATATACGTGAACAAACAACAACAGCAGCTGATGAAAATCTTGATCCATTTTATTGGGAAAGATTATTACGTGTACAGTATGAACAAGATCGAGAATTAGAAAGTCATGCATATGGTAAAGGTAAACGTTTAAAGCGACAAGTTAATTATGCTGTACCAAATAATGATGAAAATTGGAATGAACATAATTCAGATATAGCTAGTGAATATGATGCACCATCAGCTGGTGGTGAAGATGAAGATGTTGATTTTGATGAAACACCTGATCGTAAACGTAAAACAGGACGTGATCGTCCATTACCACCATTAATATCAAAATCTGGTTCAAATATTGAAATCTTAGGTTTTAATCCACGACAACGTAAAGCATTTTTAAATGCAATTATGCGTTTTGGTATTCCACCACCGGATGCATTTAAATCTCAATGGTTAGTTCGAGATTTACGTTGTAAATCAGAAAAAGAATTTCGAGCATATGTTTCATTATTTATGAAACATCTATGTGAAAATGTATCAGATAATGCTGATACATTTTCTGATGGTGTACCACGTGAAGGTTTATCTCGACATCATGTTTTATCACGTATTGGTATAATGTCATTAATTAGAAAAAAAGTACAAGAATTTGAAAATATTAATGGACTTTGGTCAATACCTGACCAAGCATCAAATGAAAATTCAAATGATTTAGTTGATGAATCAAATAATAATACAAAACAACAATCAACCAATAAAACAACAAGTAATACAAGTATTATATCAAATGAAAATACAGCAAATATTCAATCAACTGAATCAAATGAACAACTCACAGGTGGTACACCATTAAATGAAGCATCTATCGGTGGTTCAAGTAGTAATTTAATTGGTGAATCAATGAGTTTAAGTGATTTAATTCCTAATAAAAATGACAACGAAAAAAATGAAGCAAGTAATGATGTTGAAATGAAAGATAATAATGAGATACAAATTAAGGGTAAGTTATATATAACGTTAAAAATTTTAATAGTTAATACGAATGAAAAAAGGGACGGTTTCTCTAACTTTTTCATTAATATCAAGGAAGATATTTTATGTTAGTAGTAATATAGATTGTATTATAAAGCTTTTCGACTTTCAATTCGTGATGAGTAGGACCAATTGTTTTTGGTCCTAGTTTCAAGCTTAATAATATATGTACTAGCAAAAAATACCATACCATTTTCTAGTAGTATCAATTAATTCTAGATATCTTGCACGATTAGTATGACTTGAAGTATTCTTCTTCTTGACGATTCCTCACTTTTTTCAATTGACTATTATTTCATTTATTCTGCACGTTGATATGTTTACCAATTCTATTCTTTACATATAAAAATATCTACTTTTCGTAATCATCAGTATTTGAATACGATCTTTCAAATTTGAATTATCAAATTTCATTAATGAAAAACATTTAAATTGATCGATTTTGATACTAAAGATCAAAAACTATTCTTATGATCAATTAATATCATTTGTGTTATTGTATAAGAAATAATATTCGTTACTTTTTCTTTATTTTAGACGAAAAAGTTGATGTAACTGGATCTAATTCTAATCTTCCTACGACTGAAACTAGTAAATCATCAAGCAATCGTAAATCTCAATATGTTCGTAGTGAAAAATTGAAAGATTATAAATTTATGTTTAATATTGCTGATGGTGGTTTTACTGAATTACATTCATTATGGTTAAATGAACAACGTGCATTGACACCAAATCATGAACAAGAAATTTGGCATCGTCGTCATGATTATTGGTTATTAGCAGGTGTTGTAACACATGGTTATTCACGTTGGCAAGATATTCAAATAGATCCAAAATTTTCTATTATAAATGAACCATTTAAAATGGATATGGCTAAAGGAAATTTTCTTGAAATGAAAAATAAATTTTTAGCACGTCGTTTTAAATTATTAGAACAAGCACTTGTTATCGAAGAACAGTTACGTCGTGCTGCATTTTTAGGTTTAGCTATGGAACAAACAAATCCTGCATTAACATTATCACAACGTTTTAGTGAAGTTGAATGCTTAGCTGAATGTCATCAACATCTATCAAAAGAATCACTAGCTGGAAATAAACCAGCTAATGCTGTACTTAATAAAGGTATTATTATTAGTATTATTATATGTTTTTTTTCTTTTTCTTTTGTCTAAAATTATCATATTTTATTTGTTTTTGTAGTTCTTACACAATTAGAAGAATTATTAAGTGATATGAAACAAGAAATAAATAAATTACCAGCTACATTAGCACGATTACCACCAGTATCTCAAAGACTTAATATGTCTGAAAGAAATATTCTTTCTCGTTTACCTAATGGTCAAAATCTACAACCATCAACTCAAGTCCCAACAACAACAGTAACAAATGGAAATGAGTATGCTTATGGAAGTTATTCAAATTTCATTGGACCTTTTGCATTACCTGCTGGTGGAAATAGTAATAATAAACCAAGTAAAGAATAATATGAAGTTTTTTTTTCTGAAATACCATATGAGACATTTCGATCATTATTGACTACTCTTCTTTGCATTGACTTTGAGATTCATAATAGAAATTCATATTGAATGAAATTTTCTTTTAGCTTCTTCGTCATCGACGGCATCCGTTGATTCTTCATCAACTCGAATGAAATCTTCAACACCTAATAATGATGCTTAAAAAAAAACATTTTGAAATGATCTAACTAAATAAAATGCACCGTTTCTTTTTGTTGTTCATTCACTTTATTTTAAATCATGTTGTATTCATTTTTGTTTTTGTCTGTCAGTGCTTATATACATGTATCTGTGTATGTATATGTTTATGAAAAAACACCAAATAACTTGTATACATTTCTTTTTAATTTTTTTTTTCTTATTTACTTTATTTAGTTGCTACATCTTTTGTTTTTGTTTCATGTGCGTTCAGAAAATTTTCAAATATGTATGTGTACATACATATATGTTTAAAATTCAGAAAAATTTATAGACATGAAAAATTAATTTAGAACTATTTAGTTATAAATTCAAGTTCTTTTTCTTTTCAAATTTTATTAATTTCAATTGTTGATATTTAATAGATTTTAATTCATTTTGGTTTGTGACTAAAGCCATAATTATAATTTTAGACGTTCGATTCATCGAGATGTTAATAAAATGTAAAGAATTGGCTATTACTAAAATTTTTGTCTATAGAAAAATAATATAATCGATTAAAAGATTATTTCAGTTTATTAGTTTTTATCTGAACACTATCTAATTTTAAATGAATGTATTTGAATTTTTGGTACTTGTTGCATCCTATTTTCATACTTACAAACAATCATTATTTGATTATGTCATGTTCAAACTGTGGTTAATAAGGATACAACAAAAACGATAAGATAAAATCGAAAATTTCAAAATTACCAGATTTGAATTGTTTTAATTCGAAAGTCCAGTAGTGTAAGTGACTAACATCTTGTTAAAGACAACAAATGTTATAGAATGAACCATAATTTGTTACTGTAAGAATGAAGGTCAACCAGGTTGAGTGTGAATGAAAAATAAATTCATACACTCACTCCACACTCTTTCTCGAACTCCACACCTTTTTCATTTCCAGATCCAATTTATCTAAAGCCAAACCAAAGTTGGCTTCGCTCTTATCTTCAACGGCTGATATAGATGTAACATGAAAATGGTGCGATCATGAACGAAGTTGTAGTCTATTTAGCTGGGCACTGTCACATACTGAGATTGTCATTGATCACAAAATACTTTGCAGCTTGTGTACAAGTCTGTCTCACTCGTCTGTACATGCTTTCATTGTCTTTCAAAGCTGAAACTCGTGCGCGACAAGAAATACTTCGTGTGAAGTATATTCGACGAAAATTAGCCAAACCGAAGTTTTTCTTTATGGACGCTCTTGTATCACTCACTCAAGACAATATTTTTAAATAGTTTTGATAATCGATACTTAATTGTGGTTGCATTGAACAAAAACAGTATAGAACACTCGACATGCTTGATCTGTTAATCGTTGGAACTTTTTATTATTGGCATCGAAATCAATTTTATTCACTCATCTCTTTCAAGAGAACCAAGTATGTCCAGTGAATTTACTCATGAAATCAATAAGTGATCAGCGCTTTCCTAATGATAACATGAATACTTTTGAATTATATTTATTTGAGCAATAAAATAATTTAAATTAGCAATAATTAAATTTAGCAATAACTAAACTGAATGAGCTATAGGATGTGGAGCTGAATGTGCATGTGGCTGTGGGTGTGAACTTAGTTGGATGTCGGAGTAGGTTTAAGTATGGGGCGGGTGTGCATGGGTTTGGATGAAGACAAAATGAAGACCCGTACACGCATAGCCACATTCACACCCTACTTCAACACCCCAAACCCACAGACACATGCAGATCGACACCCATATCCAAAAGAGGCAGACCATCTCTAAAATAACAAAAGCTTTATTGACACAATAATGTACTATTTTCTCATTTTTATTTTTTTTTTATTTTCAATCATAACTAAAAATAATGTAGCTTTTCTTTTTTTTATTCCTACAAAATGAAACTACTATTGCTATTTAAAGAAGTAATTATTGTACATTTAATAATATAACATTACTCAAATAAAGTTTTTTTATTGCTTAAAAATTATTGCTGAATCGTATTTTGATTATTGCTCATTCCAATATTTTTATTGCTCAAATAAATACTAGCCATATTATTTTGTTGATGGTAGACATTCGGACTACCTTCAATTGTCAATTGAATAGTATTTGACTTTATATCGGATTGAAGATTGTTACTGTACTCGGTATAAATAGACTTCGACGTTAGAGCATGCTTGAGGATAACACGTTCATTTGGCATGTTATATTGAATTGAATAAGTGCCAGTCTTGGTCATGTCATATGCTGATGATACTTGAGCATAAATGACTTTTATTCTATCAAGTGCTAGTGGAGTCGTATCTTTAACAGTTGGGTGACGTCGTTTCACTAGTGGACCGTGATAGTGAACAGGGATACCATTACAAGTTACTTTGAACAATGGATCATATAGTTTGTTGTTTGTTAACACTAGTTATAAATTGGTATTGTTTCATTAGCAGTGTTTCTATATTTCACTTTCACTACTACATCCTGTGTTTGACGAAAAATCGAGCGCTCTGAAATCATTGTAACATCCAAATCATCTCCATAGATATTGGCTACCATGATTGCAATTGCAAATAATAAAAGAACATGTTGTTGGTTCATAGTTATTCAACGTTTCGTAATCTACCTGTGTGTTAATAGTTTGTTTGTGCATACAGAAAAGAAAAGTTGTATTGCATTTATATACAAAACGAGTTTAGAGAAAATAGAAAAGTACAAATATATCATGCATTTAGTTTGATACACTATGGTAATTTTACTCTGTTTTACATGACTCACCTATACACTCGACGTCGATTTAAAACTACTCGGAAAAAATACAATATTTTTGCGAACTCCTGGTGTATGGGTTACATGATTTATATGCAAAATGATTACTGATGCATAGCGTAAACAAACAAAGGATTAAATATGAAATATTTTATCTTACCAAGTACGAGTTAGCAGCTTATAGGTAAAAAAGAATCATTTGATGTGAATCAGACTCTAATTGATTATATGCATAAGATACTTGGACGTGGTACTTTTGTCATTCAAACAAGTAATATTTATGATATCTGTCTATATCACTACTCTTGCTGACTGCTATTTTGAATAGTTCGTCTTTAGTTTGTAAACAAATCGACACAAAAAAATCTTCGTATTAGCGTGCTAGCAGTAAATATGTAAATCCGAATGATATTGGCGGATTTTACGGAAAGAATCGCTAAGGACTCATGCCGACAATAGATGCAGCATTTTAGCTGCCTATTAACACAAGAAAATATGTTCTTATATCGCAGTACATCAAATCAATGAAAAGTGAGCAAACGTTGACTAATTAAAAAGATTAGCAACATATTCTATTAGTGGTAGAAGAAGCCAACCAAACAAACAAGGAGTATAAAGTATTTTAGAGAACACAAACAAGGCAATTTTTCTTTTATTAGTCACAATTATCACATTTATTTTTCATTCATTCGTGACATCCCTACTCTTTTACTTTTTTTTGAATATGTCAAACCATTCTCTGATAACTCTACAAATGCATCACTCTGTGAGAGGCATCAGACGAGAGCAAAGTTGAGAAAAAAGAAGAAAATCCTTGTTTTTTCATGAACGAAAACTTGATTTTATCAAAAAAACTTCAGCTAATCATACATAATTCAAGCTATATCCACACGCACAAGAGAAAGAGGAAGAGGAAAGCAAGAAAAGAGTTAACATTAGTATTTACATAATGCACTTCGAGTGGAGGAGCAAAATGTAATGACTCACGCAATAAGGACGAAGAAGATTAAGAAATAAGAAAAAAAGTACTGACTTGCTAGAGTGCTCTCTAACATAATGCCTAGAGAAATTTCAATCAAATTTCTCTGATGAAATTAATTATGGCGATTGTGAAGCTTGATACATAGGTTAAAACTGTACTGTGAAAAAAGTACCATACGGAATCATTTTTGCAGCGAAATCAATACCTGAAAAAAGTTTTCGAAAAAACTCAATACAGTTTTAAAATGATTGTCAAGAGTCCAGAAAACCTCCAAAAGTTTGGTGGTGAGGACGAAACCAGTTTTGATTCCGTATAATACCTTAGGTTTTTTCAGAGTATGATGACGCTTTAGAGGATTGTATCAGCATGATGACAGTCTAAAAAAACACATTTACGTCTTCACACCAATCAATTTCAATATTGAATTTGTTCGATTTACGTAGATTAGACGGAAACATAGAAAACAAAAAGAACAATATTTTGCTAAAGACAAAAATATTGAAACTAAAAAAGAAAGTAATCAAATAGGGTCTGCTGCTAAAAACATGAAGTTACGACGGAACTATCCCAACTAATCTCGAGCTTTCGTGTTTTTGTTTTGCTTATAGACAGAGCTTAGAGGAAAGAAGAGAACTCTTAAAAGTTTCGTGTTTATCGCTTTTGATTTCCGAGCTATACCTAGATTTATGCCGTAAAAAGAAGTGGTTCTTTCCTTTTTTTTTCACAATTACTGTACACATGTTTGCTTAGTAGTTTGGAGCTGAAAATATGTCAAAAAAGTAGTTTGGTCAATCTTTGAACTGTACAATATTTGAAGCTGGACGTAGCTGAATAATAAATCAACAAAAATTCATTAGCAACAATCTTTCAAATTAGCAAAAAAGACGAAGTGAAACAGTATTTAAACTATACGTATGAACAAAGAACTTTAAGGGCACTGATAATCCGTTTAGAAGTGACAGAAATATAAAACATTCCGACACCATGAACAACAAATAAAATCAGAAGATGGGCACTTCTGTTCTTCGTATGCAGAAGAATCGGTTGAGAAATAGACTTCGATAGCATTGAGAAAGTGACCAGGATGATTCTCCACGTATTTGCTTTTGTAGCAACTGTATCTGAATGAGTTTATCAAAAAGAGATGCTGTCATTAGAAAAAAGCGAGTGATACTAATTCAATAATATTATTTCCCGTGACACGACATTTCCGCTCACGACACCACCGCGTAGGACACTTCCGCGCTAAATGAAGTTTTCTGTTTTTCCTG